GAAGCTGGGAAGAGTCTGGTATCACTGCAGAAAACTCATTAAAGACCTCAGCTCAATGCTGAGCTGTGGTAAAAAAAAAAAAGCAGACGTGATGTATGGAAGGATAAGAAATAGGATGGTGAATAATACAGAAAGTATTGTAGTGCCATGATATAAATCAGTGGTGGAGTCTCAAGTGGACTGCTATGCATGTTTTGGATTACCCAGTCTCTAAAAGGACATTACTGAACTGCTAGAAATCAGAGAACAGAAACTCCGTCTAGTGAGAGGTGTCCCTGCCTAGAGCAGGGGGTTAAAATGAGATGATCATAAAGGTCCCTTCCAGCCTAAACCATTCTATATTGTACGAAAAGTCAAAGGGCTGGAAACCTCATATGCAGTAATCAGAAAAGATGAAAAAAAATTACTCAGCTTCTGAAAGAAACAGACTGTCAATAGCAAGTTTTCTCCTTGATGAATTATGGAGAAAGCAAATACAAGTTTTCCTTCTCCTTGCCTCCTCTCAGACACAAGAACAAGTTCATTAACTGACATGAAAATATTACAGATTTTAAAATGATAGGAAATACTCACATCTAATACACTGTATATAGAGGTAATTGAAGCCATTGAAGCCATTGAAGCCATTGAAGCCAAGTACATCTGTGCGTTTGTTTTCACCTTAGATACAATCACAAAATTACAAGATGGTTGAGGCTGGAAGGGAACTCTGGACATGATCAAGTGCAACTCTCCTACTCAATCGGGGTCTCCAAGAATGTACTACTTGGCATTGTGTCCAGACATCTTTTGAACACCTGCAGGTAAGGAAAAACCACAACATCATTGGACAATTTATTCCTGTGCTCTGTTATCCTCAAAGAAGAGAAACTTTTCCTCATGCTCAGTCAGAACTTTCTGTGTTCCAGTTTGTGCCCATTGCATTTCATTCTTTTGCTGGGTGTTACTGAGAAGAGCATAGCTCCACCCTCTTGGCACCCTCCCTTTAGATACTTACATGCTTTGATCAGAACCATCTGAGCTTGTCTTCTCTAGGACGAACAGACCCAGCTATCGCAGCCTTCCCTCACAGCAGAGGTGCTTTTCATCATTTTAGTGGCCCTTTACTGGACTTGACCAAGGAGCTCCGTATCTCCCCTATACTGGGGAGACCAGGTCTCTGCACAGTACTTCAGGTGTGGCCTCACTGGAACAGAGTAGAGCAGGAGGATCCCTTCACTTGACCTCCTGGCCACTCTCCTTTCTGTGCACCCTAGGATAACATTGACCTTCTCGGCCAGCAGGGCACACTGCTTGCCCGTGGCCAGCCTGATGTCCACCAGGACATCCAGGTTCTTCTTCGCTGAACTCCATTCCAGAAGGTCAGCCCCTAACTTGTACTGGTGCACCTGGGTTATTTCTCCCTGGATGAAGGACCCTGCACTTGATTTTGTTTAATTTCAGGAGGTTCCTCTCTGCCCCTCTCCCCAGCCTGTCCAGGACTTGCTGAATGGCAGCATGGCAATCTTGTGTGTCAGTCACTCCTCCCAGTTTTGAATCATAAGAAAAACTGTTGTGAGTGCACTCTACTTCTTCATGCAAATCACTGATGAATAGGTTAAATAACACTGGACTCAGTATTGTCTCCTGGGGAACACTGCTAGATAGAGACCTCCAAATATGAAGTAATTAAAAGAAAGATAAATAAAAACAACTGGATGTTAAGAAAACTTGGAAGAAACAGTAAACCAAGTAGATGAAAGGTGTAAGCCTAGGAGGCAGACTACCTTCTACTTTACAAGCAACTTCTTGTATTTCCTTAGCTACCTGGCAATGGCCAGAGTTGACTGCAGCTTGCTGAACCATACCAACCACAAAACTAGTCTTACTCTGGCCCTTTCCCTGTGTCTGTGAGAGAAACAAAGGAGTGCTGTGTAATGTATAAATGCAAGACATCCAGGGATCCCAGAAAAGGAAAGAGACGAAAAATCATCATCATATAATCATCAGAGAATGCCTTGGGCTGGAAGAGACCTTAAAGACAACTGAGCTTCAACCTCGCCTGCCATGGGTTGATTGCCACCCACAAGATCAGGCTGTCTGAGGCCGCATCTAACCTGGCCTTGAATGTCTCCACTAAAAGAGACCCACGACTTCTCTGGACAGCCTGTGTCAGTTCCTCACTGTTCACTCACTGAAAAATTTTTCCTCTAGCATCTAATCTAAGCCTTCCCTCTTTTAGTTTAAACCTGTTTCCCCTTGTACTATCACTATCAGACTGAGTAGAAAGTCTGTTTCCCTCTTGCTTATAAGCTCCCTTTAACTGCAGGAAGACCACAATGGGGCCTCCCCTGAGCTTTCTCATCTTCAGACTGATCAAGCCCAGCTCCCTCAGCTTTTGTTCATAGGAGAGCTGCTTCATGCCTCTGACCATTTTTGTGGCCTCCTCTGGGCCCACTCCAACAGCTCCACTTCTTTTCAGCGTTGCAAGCCCCAGACCTGGACTCAGTACTCCAAATAGGGCCTCACAAGGGCAAAGCAGAGAGGGAAAATCAGTAGCTCTGCATTACAGCAAAGTGCTGGCATAGGTCTCAGGAAAGACATTTCTGCAAGTTTTAAAACTGACTTAACAGTGTTATACAGACAGGAAATCAGGAACTTGGTTTAGAAAAGTACTCTAACTCCAAGAAGGCATTCAGAAAAGTAACATATTGCATTGTGTACACCTAAAGTATTAAAGAGTTCGATGCAAAATTCACCTTGTGGCTTTTATTCTCTAAATTTTGGAATGAAACAGATACAACTTTCACCTTCCATAATGAGTAATCTGAGATGTAAATTCAAGGAGAAATCTTCAAGGATATAACTGCTTATATCCTTGAAGGATTGTGTTTCAGATCCCACAGATTTTCAATGTACATTGTTAATTGAGTATGCAGCCCTGCAGTAATCCTCTGAACAGTGCTAGGTTTCTTTTGCTTTAAATAAATGTGTTGCTTTGGGGTTTTATTGGTTTTTTGTTTGTTTGTTTGTTTCTTATATAGGCATACTAAATGTGGCTTTTGGTGGTAACCAAACTACTTAACTTTTGGTGGTATTTTTTCCTTTACATCAGAGGGAACATCAAATAAAATACAATTAGCTATCATTATTTTTTTATCACCGTGGTTACGAGAGTCCCAAATGGATATATACTCTTATCTCATCCAGAAAGCCTTTTTTTGTTCCAATGCACTTGGCAGTTCACACATAATGAAATGCGTGTGACATTCAGGTAACGTCAGAGACAGCACATGGCAACAACATAAAAGCCATATTTGGACAGGAAGGCAGACTGCCGCCTTCTACTGCACAAAGACTTAATAATGACAACATCATTCTGCAGGATTTGCATGACTAAAATTAGGCAAAAACATATTCTCCATGAAAGAAAGGCAAGGCAGTGTACAAACAGTAGCCAGAGGCAGCTTCAGACGTGTCAGTTCAGCTGTGCAAAGAATGTGCCAGTCCCACTGCTGGAATAATTTCCACACTTAACATACAGAACGAGTCATTAAAAATGAGGGGGAGTAACATGAAAGGGTGAGGCATATGGCACACAGTGTGCTACCACAGCATACCATATATTCCAGATAAAAGCATGCATTAGAAAATTCATTTACACTTTCAGTGCTGACAAGGACAGCTACTGCCAATTAACCTCTTTCTCCACTCCAACCTCAGTTTCTGTTTCAGGGTAAATTCCTGGCCCTAGTGAGTCAATGGGAAATTTGCCATAGAAGTTAGTAGGAACAATATTTAACTGCTGTGGCTTCTGCAAGTGTTTTTATTCCTCTAATTTGCATATATATACTTATGATATACTTTACTGCAAACTACTTGCTTCACCCCCCACACACTACTGTCCTCAATTTTTTTTTATTAGCTTGGAACAGCAATGTCTGGAAAGTATTCCACCATCTGGTATATTACTATTAGATTCAGGAAAACTGGGCAGGTATCTACGGAGTAGAGCTCCTGCCTGAGAGAACATCTCATCTCTAAGTCCAGCCCTTCTTTGAGCTTTGTCTGAGCAGACACCCCATACAATGAACAAAACAGGGCATGAACCAACGCAGCTACCGGAGGTCTGCGTGGCACCGCAGCTGAAAGACCTGCTGGGTGCCATGACAAGAGTTTTCTCATTTTTCTGGGCCTAATCCTGCTGCGCAGCATCAGTGGAAACTTTACCATCCACTTCTGCTGTAAGAAAATTTGACCCTGGATTGCAATTTAAATCCCAAATCTTTTCTCTCTAAACAAACAAACAAACAAACAAAAAAAAAAAGGCAAGTATTTTTAATTCATAGATCACAGCCCAGGTAGTATTTTAAGTATATAGGATCAGTTCCAAAACTATTAGGAAATGGTACTCTTCTGTTCCAGGGAGACTGTTCACTCTTCAATACAAGCATTATACGGATTCTTGTTAGTAACTGATTAATACTGATATACATTCCATTTAAAAGTACACCAATACAACACATTTCTCCAATCCGCTGCCCTAAAGACTGTGTTTGCCCTGCAGAAACCAGTTTCAGGTTTGAGGCAGTTTGGGTATATATATATATGTATTTATGCCTGTGAAGAATGTGGAGAAATACGAGTAAACTCTGAAGAAATTGCTGGTATGGAATTCCTGTCACAAACAGGTGAGCACAACAGAAGGTTACATAGAAAATACAATGAGTAATACATCTCTCAGTGTGGATAATTTAATTTAGGTCAGAAATAAAGGGTAAAATATTCCCTTTGAACAAATTCCACGATTATTTCAAAATATCATCTGTACAACACTTTCTCACACTGCATAGTCCAATGGCACTATCTACATATTTGGGTACAATTTGCATGAAGAATGGTATGACTCAGTTTGTCTGCACTTTTTTATTTATTTTCTACTTAATTTAACCATAAAACTTAATCACAGAGATACAATTGTGTGAGCTTTAATTTCTTCAACAGAAAATAGAAGTGCCTATTTTATTGCAGCTACTTTGAACAGACCACAAGAAATCCACACAAATACAAGATGACTTTCAGTGACTCTACACACGCTCATACTTGTAAAAAGTATTTTTTATTAATTTCCTGTGTGCAATTCTGCTATTTAGAGAACATTAAGAGCTAGTATTCCAAACCAATCTGCATTCGGGGTGAAATTCTGTGGTTCTTTAGCAGTCCACATGTGCTAGAAACACTCTTTAAGCAGGAGTGGATTTTCTTCTTACATCATAACATACATTACGGTTGTAGGGCAACCAGAGAGAAGATTCAAGGTTATTGTGTAAAACTGCAGATATTGTGCTATGAATGCTTCAGTGTATAAATGAAAGTGGGACAAAGGAGGAATGGAAGAGAAAACCAGGCAAATTTTGTAGAATCATAAGATAGTCACGCAGAATCACAAAACCACCAGAATCATAGGGGTTGGAAGGAATCGTTGACTTCAATCCCTCTGCAAAAGCAGATTCTCTAGAGTAAAACAGTGCTCTTCTAACAGTATCACTCACCTCCAAAATGGCATTTAAAAATGAACAGAAGAAAGAATTTAGCTTTTCTAGGTATAAGCATCTTGCAAAATACTTTCTTCTTGGTGCCTGCTAATAATGTCACCAGCCATGAAAAGCATTTATTCAGTGCAAAAGATTTATGATCAATAATTATAAATCAGTTCAAGGGCAATCAAATATATGAACCATGTAATTTAAGGTAGAAGTTTCTAAAACCAAACCAAAATAAAAACTTCTCTGCAGCACCCTCTATATTTATTATGTGCCAGAATGGTTTATAAACAAGAGAATTATATATTAATAATGCTGCAATACAGCTTTAAGAGGATTAAATATATTTCTAGAATGAGGTCTAGACCCAGACTAAACTGTTATCTTTATGTTCCACTTCTGATTTTGTGCTAGTAAAAAGCATTCAGAAGAATTTCAAGCTGCTGGCTTTTGCATTTGGAGGTTTTTTGAGGGGGGGCGGGGTTAGTTTTGGTTTTGTTAGTTATTTTGGGATTTTTTTTGTACAAGACAATTCCATTCCAAGAGGATGCTGACATTCAGATTTTCATCCCTCTGCAGATAACTCTCGTAGTTGCTATCGACTTCAGTAAAACTAGGCTTCCAAATGCAATTTTTTTAATGGTATTTTACAAAATCACTGAACTGTAGGAAGAGACCACTGGTGATCACCAAGACCAATACCCCTAGATCATCAAGACCAATGCTAGAGCAGGCTCCCTACAGTAAGTTACCCAGGAAAGTGTCTAGATGGGCTTTGAATATCCCTAGAAAGGAGACTTTATAGCCTCTCTGGACAGCCTGTTCCACTGCACTGTCACTCTCAAAGTAAAAAAGTTCTTCCTCATGTTCAGATGGCACTTGTTCCAGTTAATGCTCATTGCTTCTTGTCCTGTTGCTGGGCACAACTGAACAGGAGTCTGGTCCCATCATTTGACAACCACCTTTTACATATTTATTAGCATTTATAAGATCCTCTCTCAGTCTTCTCTTCAACAGGCTGAACAGCTGCAGGTCTCACAGCCTTTCCTACAATTGGATACAGAAAGATTATATAAATAATGGCTGTTAAAACGTTACAGACAAACAAGAAGATGGTATCAGAAACCTAGACTTTAAAATGTAGCTGTAGCTTCATAGATGCAATGAAACCAGAAAAATTCTGGAAAAATTATGGTAACTATAGCTGTTTCTTTACCTTCTCACTGAGAGAAAAATAACATTAGAATGACAGTCTTACATTTCAATGATCACACATTCAAATATCAAACTGGTATTGTGCTATAAGATTCAACAGTCTAACTCTTTCAGAAGGCATAAAATAAATGAGATAGATATTTCTTTGATAGTAGAAGATATAAGAAAATTCTAAAAGACCATTTTTCTATTCTTTCTTCCACTTAACAGTCTTATATACATTTTAGCTCCAATTGAATCTATACCACTTTGCATGCATGAAGCAATTTAGTCTAAATAGCAGTGTCAAAATGTCTGAAAGAAATTATACCTGCTGACAGTGAACAAGATGATCAAGAGTTCAGGTCTTGTAGATGAGTCGCTCTTTGCATGACCAGCACAACTTTATATCATACAAGAAAGATTTGAATCAGTAGCATCACATGTGGCACAGGCATTTGGAAAGTCTTCTGATATGGAGATAATGTGTTGGTGAGATGCATTTAATAGCAGATGACATCAGAAACAAAAACTAAGAACAAATAGTCCCTTTGTACCTTGGCATAGTCTTCACCATACTGCAACATTAAAAATTATTTAATCTCACAGATTCCATTATTTCATTTCATTGCTCACTGCTAACTCTTTGGTTTTAAATATGATGAAAATTGGAAGATCTGTAGTAGCTGTCTTCGGGTAAAAATATGCTTCTCTAAGCCCGTATTTTCCTTCGTTTCTCCAGAATGTGCAGATTAAAATGAGAGCCAAAGCACACACAGAAACCTCAATGGTTAAAGAAAAGCATTGGCCAGAAGACATGTGCACATGAAAAAAATTTCTCATTCTGTTCTCTTTTTGTTCCTTGGAACAAGCTTGTAAATCAGAGTTGAAACTCAATCCCTGTCATTAATTCATGAATAACATACATACGGTGCTTGAAGCATAAAAAACACCAAGGCATCTTGTAATACAGTACTATTTAGTCCTGTTTTAATCATATGACAAGGCACTATCATCTTCCAAAAATGATAAAAAGAAGATATTTTATACTGAAAAAAACAATGTTTTCAACCTCGTCTCAAGAAAACATATTGCAGAAAACAAGCACACAACATTTCCTTCTATTTTCTTTCTACATCTTGAAGATCTGTAAAAGTTTCTAGAGAAAAATAAAAGGAAAAAGATGTCATCTAGAAAATTAGACCGAGTTCAACATGGAAAAAGCAATAAGAACAAAAGAGACTAAAGGAAAATAAGCAAAGCTATAAATACTGGACAGCTACATAGTTGGGACACACGGAAAAGACTGAACTAATTTTGTATAGTGTTTCCCACATTGAATCCAAAGACAATAATACTGAAAGCACTGGTTTCAATATAGGAGAAGCATGCTGTAGGCCCATTATGAAGTTTGACATAAATTTTCTGACTCTTCATTTCACAATGGTGTGATTCACATGGGTAGCAGTTGCAGAATCAAACCCATTCTCAGGTTTCTTTGAAACAAAAACAAAATTTTAATTTGGCTTGCACATGAGTTCTTAAGAAATGAAACAAATTGCATAAGATAAACACCAAATGATTTAAATATCTCCACAGGTTGACTGCATTGAATTCCTTTTTATTCTTGTAGCTAAGAAAATGCAGCAGTGTTAGTTTATGGAACAAAGTTGTAGGCAACCAGTTAAATTCATCAGCAGATGGGGTAGTAAAAGCAGATTCTTATTTCTTATTAAAACAGACAATCTGGGGGCAGGATTCATCATTTTGTTTTAAGAATCAAGTGTATTCTCAGTAAGTTATCAAGACTTTCCTTCAGGTGAGTGGAGACAAATAAGCATTCCCTGTAGACAATTCCACATTAGCCCAGGTCAAGCCTCTGGCACCTCAAGTACACTTAAGCTCAGGCTGCTGCAGAGGATAATCGTGTCCTACCGTATACACAGCCCTGTAAGACCTTGTATGTTCACATTCTATGGGATCAGGGAACAGATTCAGCTGAAAATGAACCAAAAGTGCTCTACACAACTCTCTTTCAGAAACAGAAAACCCAGTATGAGTCAAAAAACACATATAAAATAAGCCTGAGTAAATAAGTATGGCCATATAAGGCCATATAGGCCTTATGAAAGCTGAGGATGCTGAGGTATGTAAAACGCAAGTATGAGGCCTTCAAGCACACTGAAGGACTGTGACCACAGCCTGTGACACAGGCATCAAGTCAGATGTTGGTATAAGACTCCTGGAACCCTTTACAGACAGGTTGCAGCCCTGACTTCTGTCTTCCCTGTCCATTCTCCACCCCTTGATATCTCCACCTGTCACTAGACTTACATAGTGTTGGTACTGCATATTAAAATGTATATCTGAAACCTAAATTTCAGTATTGCTTTTAATATATATTTGTGCTCTTTCTTAATTGCATTAGTTCCAATTTACACATTCATATGTACACACATACAACAGCCCCTGAAATCTAGCGTGTCTACATGGTAACACCCATCTGTAAGCCTCAGATCTCCCTCTTCCTCTTTCTGTCTCTCCAGCTGACACACATATAAAATGTTGTGCAATTAATCTTACAATCCCATTTTAGTCAGATTGTTTGTTTTCCCTTCTGTTCCAAGATGTTGTCCATTGCCGTGACTACAGACAAGTAGGCATGTTTGATCAGCTAACTACGCTGGATTATGGAAGAAATACTTTATCCAAGAAATAAGGTTACTAAATGTTAAAAAATGTGTATCCTTCCAGTCTTCTGAAGTATCCATCTCTCAATGTTAATGTCAGAAATCAACTCATGGCACACAAAAACTCTTAGCTATCCATCTTCTCCCTCTTTCAAATCTCATTCAGGAAGGTTTAGCTTTATAAAAAGCAGTATAGTTTTTCAAACAAAAGCTACTGTAAGCAATATATACACAGAAAATGTTTGTATTACCACATATTTTGGCAACAGAAGTCAATCCAGATTTGCAAACTTAGAAGTGGAATATTTCATTATTTTGTCATTTTTTTCCTGTTTTTGCAGTGTGCAGTAGAAGGAAGATTCAGATCAGAGACACTATGTAAACACAGAAGGAGCCAGTGTTCACAGAAGTCTCTGAGATATTAAGATATGTTGACACACACTCAAAGTGAGAATGAAAGGGGAAGAGAGAGGACATTTCTCAGAAGCAAAAGGACAGAGGAAGAGGAGGACTTTACAATTAATAGGCAAATGGTGACATGGATATTCCTATGACTCAAGAGAAAAACAAGGAAATGCCGGATTTGAAGAATTCTTGGAAAGCAAAACTGAGGCTACCTAGCAGAGAAATGGTTTTAAAAACATCTTTCATTATGTTACTAAAAGGTAAAACTGAAAAGAAGCAATTAATTTCCTCTGAAGTGCTTCTTCAGTCTGTTTTCCTCTGATGAAGGACATAGAAACTATACTCTAAGCAGTATGCCTCCAGAATGTATAATTCAACAGGTGAAGATCTGTGAAGATCTGCACAGAGTCATCATTTGGTTAAAAATCACCATATCAAATGTTTTTCAACCTAATCTCTATGAAAGCAAAGGTCTGCCTTTCAGCAATCCAAAGCAGAAAGGCTTAAATTATCAACATAATTCAACTACACAACAGTTTCTGAAATGCAGACATAAGGGCGTCAATTAAAACCTTTATTACACTTTTTTTAAAATGGTTGTTATTTTTGCCAAAATAAAATATCTGGCTATCATGGGAAGGACTCAGGAACAAGCTGAATATCAAATACCAAGAGGTAATACTAAGAACAAGTTGATAACAAAGAGCAAGGGTAAGAGAATATATTCCTGCTCAGTAACGTTAACATAATCTACTCAACATGCAAAAAAAATTACACACCTTAGTAGCCATCCTAACCTGAGTGCATAAGCTTCTTAAGTAATTTAGTGGTCTATTATGTCTACTGGAAATAGACCTGCTCAATTGTTCATTTCCCTAAACTGTTCATTTGCTGACAGTCTAAATCTCTTGTGCAATATTTGAGCCTTCCAGTTACTGTAACAGCAATTTTAACTTTCAGAAGGCTTCCCTTTCCTCTTAAAGACTGAAATTTGTTTTGCAATTCAGCTCATTTTATTTATAAATATTTAATTTTCATTTGCCTCCTTAAAATTTGTTCTGAGTGGATAGTAACATAAATTTATTATGAAGTGTATTTATCTTTCCCTACCTCATTAATGCTCAAGAGTTCTGCTGCCTCTATTAAGCATACTGCTAAACAAACTTCTGGAAGCTGAATCCATGTGAATGGAGAAATGAAGCGTAAATTCAGGGTGCAGTTCTTTTGTTCCCCCCTCCAATTTCTATCAAAGTCACATGCTCTGATAGATTTCAGAAAAGACATTAAAAATGTTGATGTGAAAGCAGGAGATGTGATCTGGAGTAATTTCAACCTTCAACAAATTACACCAACATTATCTCCTGGAATAATCTGAAGTGGCAATTCATAAATCACAGAATCCATACAGTGGGTTTGGTTGGAAAGGACCGCAAAGTTCCAACCCTCTGCCATGCGCAGAACTGCCAACCCCTAGATCAAGCACCAGATCAGGTTGCCCAGGGCCCCACTCAGACTGGCCTTTGACGCTATAAGCACTGAACCAACATAAGAAAGAGAATGAAAAACTTCTTTAAAATGAAACAAGAATATCTGTACTGGGGTTTGTAGTTGTTACCAATGTTATTTGAAACTAGTTTTTTTCCAATGTTACTTTTCATTAGCTTTGGTCACTGTTCCTGTCTCTCTGAGATACAACTAAAATAAGTTCAAATCAAATCTGAGGCTGCTTGAGAGAGAATCAAGTGAAGCAGTGAAGAATAAATGCAAATAGTTTAAAGATTAAAAAAGAAAAAAAAAAATCAAATGCAGTTTGTCAGTGAGGATTAACTGACAAAGAAATAATTGGATGTTTAGCCTATTCATGTGCGTCATCATGACAATGGTTAGTGACATTTTCAGTGTACCTTCAATTAAACCAATCACATATAGTAAATATTCTGAGCATAAATATACTGAAAATACTGGCCAAGCAGAGCACAGCACTATTTTTTTACTTAGGTGCATCGCTACAGTTTTATACAAACAGTCACAATTCATTGAATTTTATTTTTTATTTTAAAATATTTATGTTTTAAAATGGCTGGTTACCTTGGCTGGTTATCAAACACTTTCTGATCTCTCCAGTTAGGGTGAAATCTGACAGAAGTTAGTAACTGGCCAGTTCCAGACATATCTGGATACATTTTCCCCCTAAGACCACCTTCACAGCTACTTTTTGTTTTATCAGAAATTCACAAAATGAATCAAATTTTCCCATAATAAATGAATAATTTGAGAACTGGAGAGTAAAAGGCTTAGAAGATATTAACTCAGCTCTGAATTACAAAATCAGAAACCACTGCAGTGCTAAACACCTTGAGTACAGCTTCTGCGTACATCTGTCTGAATGAAAGCTATACTGTTGCTGGATTAATGCAGTACAAAGGGAAAAAAATAAAAGAATACAGCAAACATTTAACAGAAGTATTGACAGCATAAGTGCTTCTGCCTCCATGCCTATGCAGACCAAAGGGGTAAACAACGTGTGTTAGGGCTGAATGAAAGTGTACTATGCTCTTAAATCAGTGGGAAAGCATATAGCCAAAAATACTTGTACTGGCACTCTTGAAGTGTCATGATGATCCATTTTCTTTGAAATTGACTAACATTAATGTATTTGCATCCTTGAGATAAAACAATCAGTGAGCCTTTTAAAAGTTCATCTTGTTCCACTAGAACACATACTGCAGTTCTCTATAGAACTAAAATATCCATCCATTTGTCAAACAGCGATGATTCAGACATCTGAGTATGTTATTGTAACTGAACTTAAGGTGGATTTTGAAGTTTATAAATGATTAGGTAGTGTTTGAACTCATTCTCTTCTTATTCCCAGACAAAACACAATGCTCAGAAATGCTGTGAAGGTTCTACAACAGTTGCACTTTTTCAGAATACCAAAATACCATTCACTACAGATACTTCTGGCATTTAAGTTCCCTGAATAGGAGCTACTCTAAAATTTGATGCCTATACATCAACTTTGATACTAGACAATTCTAGGTACTAGACATATAAAGAAGTCTCATACTTTATTTCATAAATTTCTGAGTTTTCATGGGATTCTCTTAGCTACTGAATCAGTCTTACCAAACACAATATTTAGTTGGTAAAGCTTGGTGACACTGAAAGCAGTCTACCATAACTGGTTCGGTATTCTTGACTATTTCTGGATTTTGATAAAATATGTGGTTCACAAAGAAGTGTTAATGTTAACATCCACATCAGATCACTTATAAAAGCGTAACTGATTTGGTTCATTCCTACCACTTAAATCTTGGTACATTCACAAATACTGATACAGCATTAATTACTCAAAAGGTGACTATAAATGACTTTCCAGTAAAATGATCGACAATAAAAAAATAAAAAAATAAAAATCTAGATAAAGTAGATTGATTTGTTCCTGTAGGAAACAAAGAGGGAGCAGAAAGATCACTGATATAATCACTGTTATATATTAAGTCAGTTAACTTCCTACCAGAAAACACTCCAATAAGGAAGTTATGACAGCTAAGAACAACCTACTGAAGAGAGTGCTAACATCATCAGTTTAGAACAGATACAGGAAATAGTATATTTGAAGGAGCAATTTTAGACATGAAGTCTGGGAGGAAAAGAAGGAACTAGCAGATTCTTGCAAGAGTGAGTGGCAACACACAGAAATGGGAAGCTGTGACAATAGAAAACACAAAGAGGAGGGTTCAAGATGTTTGTACAACATGGAAAGCAACAAAGCAATAATAGCTGCACAGGAAATTGCATGGGACTTTAAAAATGCCTTACATTTTCAGTATGGGCACACATGGTTAGAGCTATATGAGCACATAATGGGAATTTAGATGCTTGATTTGGTGCTTATGTTCCAAAATCAGATGCTTAAAATTATTACTGCTAATTAATCCTGAATATCTATCAACACACTCAGCTTCTATTGCTCAAGATAGCTAATCAAGATAGCCATCTCCAGTACCATCTTAACCTTAATGATTTTCACTTCTGTTCATACCTATGGACAGTTCCACATTCCTCTGCTTCCCTCTGCTGTGATACTCTAATCAAGGACAATCTTAGAAAACCAGGCTGAACACAAACTGCAAGACTAATGATGAGCATTCCCTGGAGCTAGGGCTTACAAACTATGACTATATTCCCAGATGTGTGAGCTAATCTGTAAACTGATCTTCTCTTGCTCTTCCAATTAATAGTTAATTATTCGATGTAAAGCAAAACATCTTCAAAAGGAGACACGGCAACTGTTCCACCTCAGAGTATTTCATAGCCAGGATACTTTCCTGGAAGATGGGAGACACTGATTAGTGCTCCCTCAGGCAGAGGAAGAAACTGAGCATAAGTCTGCTGCCATTTAACTGCTGAGCTAGTGCATAGCATGTGCTGGGAGTGGCAGGCAAGGAACACAACACTAAGGGGTTTTGAACAAAAAAAAAGACTCTACGGCTAATTTCAGGAAAGCTGAAGGATACTGCAATATCTGAGTCTCAGACAACCACACAGCTTAAGGCACTCTCTAAGCTTAAGTCCTTTTCCAGGTATACCTCTAGCAGCTCTCCATTCAGCTTGCCGAGATTTGCCATGTAAGTCTCCTTTTCATAGGAACTTCTACACAAGTAACCAGTATGATATTGACTAATGCCTAACACCTAGGCACTGCAGAACTTTAAGCTGAAGCACTTGTGCTGTTCTTTAGTGAGTGTGGTGTCTGCTGAGTTAGGTGTCCTTGCCAGAAGGAGGAAATACATTGGTGGCTGCACATACCTGGGTGCACACAGGGCAGAGTTTAAAAGTGAGTCCTGACTGAGTGCACACTCTGTAACCAACAGAAAGTCACAAGGAAATAGTGTGGGAAAAAAACCCAACCTTTTTGATACACAAATGGTGAAGTTCAGAGAAAAGAAAGTTCACTTGACAAAACAGTCCTGTTTGACCATAAGCCATGTTGTGTTTCTCTCTTCAGTCCCCAGCAGTCTTATCACCAAACCTGCAGAACTAGCTGTCTTCCTGAAAGCTACCATCTCACCCTACAGCCCTTCCTTCATCACATTCATAAAAATAACAAGATTAACAGTTATTCATTCAAACAAAGCACTCTGTATGAATCTCTGTTCCTGAACACATATTAAATTGTTATTTAAATTATTTGTAACTCAGACTGTAACTTCCCCTAATTATGAATATCTCCATAGTGATACAGACTGGAACATTTCCAAGAAAATCTGATTTATATTAAACGAGTATCTGGCTCATCTAATTAATATTCATCAGCAAATTATGCAGGAATGCTTTCCACATGGCATACATGTCCAGGAACTCAGTGATACATCACACACATTCCTTTCAGATCTGAGATGACAGAAAGGGTGTCCTACAACACTGCTATACTTGCACCTGCTCAGGCAGGTGTTGGGCAAAACATTACTGCAATAAGCAGTATTACAGATATACTTTCAGAAAGAAGTTACGAACAAGAGGGCATAAACCTCTGGTATTTCCAAAGGCCACTATCATCCAACAAGAAACACTGCTTTTTATGTTGTTTTCCATTTTTTTTTCTTGTCAGCACGCCTAACAGGGTCTTACACAGCACAGAATTGCTTGGTACAAAACTGAGATAGTATTGTTCTGAGAACTATCTTATCATTTCCAGGATTTGACATTAGTCATGAACCTGAAAGTCAGTTTATCTTAGAAAGGATGGGAAGCACAAGGAAATTTCACTTACCATATTTTAACAAGTATTCCTAACATATAATCCTTCACATGACATGATGGCCACTTCAGTCTGATTCCTTTCTTCCTCCTCAGATCAGACAGCAGCCACTCCACTTCCTAAGACCCATCCTCAAGTTCTTAGGTAATTCTTTCAGCTGAAACCAAATCAAATAAAGAAACCAACAGAACTACACCTGCAACACTGTAGGGACACTGTAGAGTGTGTAGGTTTTTTTTCCTGCTACACAACGAGGAAAGAAGAACATTAAGTCCCTTGAAAATTTTCAGACCCAACAGTCTTTCTCAAATTAATACCAGGCTTCAAAGCACGGCACAAGAAAACACAAGCCTGTAGGATCACAGGTAAGTTACTCATACCGTGTGAGTTAGGTTTTCATCACAATACCAGAAGTGTTACAGCCACAGAAGCTGTGGCAACTGAATGTTTAGACAAGAATACTCACATTATATCCACTTCTCATCTGAAATGTGCACACATGTAAAACTCAGATCCAATTTAAAGATATACATACTGAAATAATATAGAAATGAACAGTGACAATGCCAAGGTACATAAACCAAGGTTTATCTTGTGAAAAGTTATATTCCCATTGACATGTGGAACTTCAGGCTGTTGCAATCAAAAGGCGTGTTTGCAAGTCTAACATTTATAATTACACAAACATTCCCCCACCCTGAATGTCAAACATACTGAATGCCTTTCCGACAGTGAGAGGCTGTCCAGCTGGTAAAGAAAGAGCACAAGGAATTCAGTTGTACATTAATTCAAACTATTATCTATCCACATCTCTAAATTGAGGCTATTTTGTTCGGGCTACTCTACTAAAGCCAAATGGGCAGATAGAACATTTAAATATTTATGAAGATTCATTATAAAAAGCTGAAAAGTATTACTAGATTAATACATGCCTTTAATAAATGGTGAACTGTTTGCTGTAGAAGGCAGTGGCTCAAAGGTTACTTATGTCTATTTAAAATATATTAATTTCTAACCCATACATTCTCCGTCTGTGAAAAGCTTCCATTCTTAATTAGCCAGACATTAGCCCTTTGTGAACGCTGTTTCACTGAACCAGTGAAACAGTATAAAGCTCAGACTAAATGCATTAAACGAACAATAAGAGGGCCTCTCTCCTCCTACTTTGGAAGGCAACGTGGTCACCTGAGATTGTAAACGACTGGCAAGTCACAATTCTGGCACTAACCCCTTTGTATGACTCTGGAAAAGATGCCTCTGATTCTAACACCTTCCTTTCTCTGTTTTGCGTTTAGACAACAGCGGTCTTGGAAAAGTTCTGAGACCTGAAATCATCAGCCCTCATAAAACAATGCCGGCTGTAAGGAACATATGCCTGCTGTAAGCAAAGATCAGATTTGAGACCATCTAAAGAATCTAAAGGTGTGCAAGTACATGGGACCCGATGAGATCCATCCATAGGTTCTGAGAGAACTGGTGGATGAAACTGCCAAACTGCTATCCATTGTTCTCACTGACTGGAAAAGAAGAAAAATAACCCCCACTTTCAAGAAGGAAAAAAAAGAAGATGCAGAGAACTGCAGACTAGTCTCACCTCTGTGCCTGCTAAGATCTTGGAGCAGATTCTCCTGAAGGCCCTAATAAAGCACATCAAAAATAAAGACAAGGTGATTGGTGATAACCAACATGGCTTTACCAAAGGTAAGTCATGCCTGCCAAACTTGGTGACCTTTACGACAGAATTATAATATCAGTGGATAAAGGAAGAGCAACTGACAACATCTATCTGAACTTGTGCAAAGCATTTGATATCCTGGTTGCCTAACTGGAGAAAAACTGGATTTGAAGGATGGACCACTTGACAGATAAGGAATTAGCTGTACGGTTGCACTAAGAGAGAGAGTTGCAGTCAACAGCTCAATGTCCAAATGTAGACCAGTGACAAACAGTGTTCCTCAGGGATCAGTCTTGGAACTGGTATTATTTAACATCTTGGTAGGTGACATGCACAGTGGGATTGGGTGCACATTCAGCAAGTTTGCAGATGACGCCAAAGTGAGTGGTGCAGTTGATATAGAGGCTAGAGGGAAGAGCTGCTATCCAGAGGGATCTGGACAGGCTTGAGAGTTGGGTCCATGCCAACCTCATCAAGTTCAACAAGGCCAAGTGAGAGGTCCTGCACCTGAGTCGGGACAATCCAAGTGCAAGTTGGGCAGAGAATGGCTTGAGACCAGCCCTGAGAAGGATTTCGGGGTGTTGGTCAATGAAGGATTCAACACGAGCCAGCAATGTGTGCTTGCAGCCCAGAAAGAGAAGTATGTCCTGGGTTGCATCAAGAGAAGTGTGACCAGCAGGTCGAGAAAGGTGATGCTGCCTCTTTATTTTGCTCTCCTGAGACCTCACCTGGAGTACTGCATTCAGTTTTGGAGTCTCCAGCACAAGGACATGGAGCTGTTGGAGCAGGTCCAGAGGAGGGCCACAAAACTGGAAGATGGGGAAAGAGTCTAGAACACAGAGGGTTACAGCTACATTTGACTTATTAAATTGCCTGCCTGAGACTGACAGCTACAGCAGCTTACAAACAGCACTGCTCTATGACAATTACTTTGTATTAACACACCAGAGAAAATAGAACTCACAGTGTCCCCGGTAGTCACCACACACTATCAGTACAGCAGAGATCAGTGCAAGGTGGACCACCACCAGAGTGCACAAACATATGTGCTTCTGAGCATCAGCTGCTGTAGCAGTGGGTCCAATGGCAGAAATAAGGGTGATGGATTTGACCACCAGTGGAAGAACTCCCAACTTCATAGCAGGCTTTAATATTTGTATGCTATGCCTTAATACTACCAGTAAGATACCCTTGCCTTAGATAAAAGGGGTAAGATCGGTTGCATCATTCCAGATCTCAGAGTTTTTAAGCAACTATAAACAAGCCAAATATTCAACAGGAACAAGTCCATGCATTCAGTGCAAAAGGCTTTTGTGTTGTATCTACTTCACCAGCTGCCAAACAAAAGTCAAGTAGCTCTTAAGCATTAGGCTGATAATGAAACTGCTCTCAGCAAAGGCAAACTGCAGTAATTCTTAAAGGACAAATGAAGTGCTTTATGGCAGAACAGAAATGGAACTGCTGTTGAGTTTGGCTGACTTTTTCAATTCCAAACTAAGAACAGACTGTAGCCTAGCAGTACATTTCTGCATTTGTTCATCTGATGAGGTCAGTCAGTTGAAATTAATTTTTATTACTCTACATCAAATAAGAGGAAATGAGAATCATTAAGTTACCTTTCCTAATCAATTCCTTCAACACACCTGGCTTCCCAGAGGATAAACTACCCTCTGCTGGAATAACAAAGAACTTACAGGCAAGAAAACATTTCCTTATTAACTTCGCACAGAGATTCTTGAAAGCATTCAGTTGCAAACACAGCCTGTCTGTTGCTGCAGGCTTACTAAAGCTGGGTTTTGCTCCAATAATTTTGCAGCAAGTGTCATCTTAGATAACCCATGATTAGATAACCCATTTAATACATGAATCATTCCCACAAAACTTACTTTTCTTAAATGAGCATGGATTTTTTTCTAAGAAACAAGCTACTGATTTACATAGCATCCACTACGCTTGTTGGTTTGTGTTATTTTTCTTAGCCCTGGAATCTTTCAGAATTCAAAGCTCAATGTGATATAGTTCACATCATGCAAGATTTGATTACATACAGGAGTTACATATTGAAGGAAAAGTTCCTGAATAATTGTAATGGCAAGTACTTAAAAAAAAAAAAAAAAAAAAATCTTTCCCAAAGAGTCCAGCCACAGTGCTCACTAGGAAAAAGCCATTGCATAGCACTATTGTGAATTTACCAGCTGCTCCAAAAGTATTGCCTTCCATTTTACTGTGTTCGCCCACGACATCAAAGGCAGATGGTGGTGATAAGGCAGTAGAGCTTGAACCTTTCCACCAATACCCTGATACATTTCGTTGCTCTGTGACAGATAGCAACAGAGGGGCACTCTGATGAAATGGCATCTGACATGAAAGAACAGATGAAGCAAAGGTGCGTCACAGAATTCCTCCACTTGGAAAAAATGGCACCCACTGACATTCTTCCTGACATGCTTCCTGAAAGTTGATGGAGACCAAACAGTGGATGCAAGCACAGTGAGGCAATGGGTGTTGTGTTTTAGCAGTAGTAACAGTGACATAAAAGACAAGCCATGTCCTGGATGGCTATGCAGATTTTAATGAGTGCAGAATGCAGGCAATTCATCGCTGCAGAGCTAATGGTAGAAATTATACTGAAAAATAGTGTTCTGTAGCTGAGAATTTGCCTTATCAAATAGTGTTATTGTGCTCTTTGTATCTGTTGTAGTTTCCATGGAAGTAAAGAAAAGGCATTAATTTCCAATCAACTACTTGTCTTGAAAGCTGGAAGTACTTTCAAGCCAGCCCCAAAAGGCAGGATGGTACAAGAAGAGACTTTATTAAATTTGCTGATCATGGCTCCCACCAAGATTCAAATCACATGACAGGCCAGCCTTCATGCTGCAGATTCTGCCTTGTTTCCAAAGATGGTCCAGAAGCATATATGTCACCTTGAGACTACTGACAATCTTCTTGAAGTGCTTAACCAGCACAGAAACAGAAACTTCAGTTTGTATATAGGTAACAGATTTTTCCAAAGAAAGTTAGTTTTATTTTCTAAAGACATATTGAAAAACATCAAAGTCAAGTAGGAAAACAAGGAATGGAATGGTACAGTCATTATGAACTAAGCCACATCCCCGGCTCTTAACCTCACTGCAAAAATCCCAGGTATGCTGATTTCATCAAAGTTGTTATATGGTTTTTCACAGTTGGTACAAGTTTCAACTTTCAAACACAAACAAAAAATCTCAGTTGTTTCTTCAAAACTGCAGAGAACAGTTGTTAACAGGCTCTTGGGCATATGTAAAGGAAAGAAAAAAGATGGAAATGCCACTTTGTTGAAATTTCTAGCACACAAACATTAACATGGAATTACAATAAGGATCCTTGGAAAGAAACTTACCTCTTCAAATCTCTCATGGAAAAGAGGAAGAGCTAGTCATCAGTCGGACCAGTTAATTAAAGACTTGCTGTGCACTGCTGGGTTCTGTCTGCTTCCACCATGGCCATCAACTGCCATATACAACAAAACGAACAGCCCCTACACCCCTGCTGAAAAAGAATAATAATAATTACTAATACATATTCTAAAATTCCCCCCAAAACAATCCTGCATATGTCCTAAAAAGCCATTCCTTCGTTTCCATGAAGGTGCAACCGTCTGTGCCCCAAAGGCATTTGTAACATTTTTGTCTGAATAGGGTCTAACACATCTGCTTATTTGTAACTCACCAGGCAAGATCCCAGCTAGCCACAATTACTTTACTGGACTTAAATAAAGAATAGATGTTAAAAGCTAAGTATTTGTGGGCTTTTATGAACTTCCCTTTCATGCTTTTGCCCCTGAAAGACAGGTAAACTTATCTTTAAAAAAAAAAAAAATCAGAAAAAATAGTACATGGATATAAGCAATGAGGAAGAGTTTAATTTTACATATATAGTTTCAAAGAAATGAGTTGAAAACAACGAAACAAAAATTAAAAGCATTTTTACCCATAAAGCAGACTTTGTAACTGCTAATACAGAAGTATGTTCCACGAAAGTGACAAATGTTATTACAGAGGAAAAAGCCATTTGGTGTGCCATACAGATTAATAGCCTAATTTAAACAGGGGGAAAAAAGAAGAAAAAAAAAAAAATAAACAATAAAACTTGACAAATATGGAACACGTGAGTGTGCAGTAAATTACAGAGCTGTATCCTGTGGGAATGTGGAGAGGTGCCTTGCATGCCCACTCACCATCGGCTCCTCTCGCAGCTGCAGTCTGCGGCTACCATGGATGGTCACACAGAGAGGAAGAAGGCAGCGGTGGGGATTGCTCTCACAGAGCAGGGATACTCTTTCCTTCTCCGAGAATTCCCCCACCAGGGAACGCCCCACGCATCAAGCTGTTTTATGAAGCACAAAGAAAATGTACCAGAAGTACCACTACTGCTAGTCAGACTAGTAATCATCAGAACTCTTAACAGAAATCTAATACCGGTTTATTTGCGCATCTGACACACCTAAACCTAATACTGATCTACTCGTAGTTATAAATCTAATACTGTAGTATCCACGATGATGCTACGTAAAAGTTCACAGGCAGAAAAATGCTATGTGCTTCTATGTGCTTTAAAATACAGAAACCTGTATTTACTTACAACAGTATTTCCATTCCAATTCCATTACAAAATCTGCTCCTTCTTTTTAAATATTTATTCAACTTACTTCCTGTCTTTTATTTCTTATTGATTAATAAAGACCATTATGTAACTCTCAGTTCAGTCTATTTCTACTGCCTATTAATTTTATTTTGTCATCCAGGCATAGTTTAGTAACAGCTATTCTAATGTTGTCGGCTTTTTTCCTTAAAAAACCTTTATTTTGTCAAAGTATAATAGCTGAAAAAAATTTAGCAACAAAAGCAAGAGGGAAAATTTCCCACTGAAGGAAAATGTTTGAGAAACTGGTGAATAATTCAAGAACATTATTGAACGTGAGGCATTAAATGGGCATTTACCATGCAAATCATCTGTCAGGTCTGAAATACATGCCCAGAGCTCAGGACAAAGTTTCCAAAATTGGCTCTATATCCATTTCTATCAGCCAACTTACAAAGCTGGTGAAAACACACTTCCGTTGGAGCTCTTAAGAGCACGCCCAGGAAAGAAGCCACCAACATGCAAGCCTACGTGAGCTTTCTGATGTCAAAACTACACACATCTCCACACACTCAAGACCTCTGCGTAGGTTATTTGTCTGCGGGTTGACACTTCTGAGTAGTGTAGGTAAGGTTTTGGTACCATCAGCTGGCAAAAGAGCTTTAAGAAGGCTGTCACGTGGCATCTGAGACATGCTGAATAATTATGAGCCTCCTACCACACCACAGAAAAAGCCAGGTACACTAATTTAAATCTCTTTCACCAACAGCTCAACAAAACAAACCAGAGTAGTTCACTCATGTATTTGAATACCGATCTTCTAACAATTGTAAGAGCATTGAAATCAGGGGAAAAAAAAAAAAAAGAAAGAAAGAAAAAAAAATTAAGGCAACTAGAATTTTATCCTCCTCATTTTCAGGAAATGTCACTCTTCTGCTTGAGCCAAAGAATAACCTAATGTATGCCTGGCCTGATTTAAATACTACAAACGGTAAAACAATAAAAACAAATAAAACCAATAAAACCAACAAAACAAAAACATTTATTAATGAACTGTTCCACTGGTTAATAGGTCTTGTGCTTTAAAAGTCTTGTTTGTTATGTCAGTCACGACCTTGTGCTAGTAAACACAAAGCACATTTAAATCACCTGCACTAGAACAGTTTGCACGTATTTCATAAATCATGTTTTCTCATCTACTAATTTTTAATGGGCAGTTTTATTCCACACATGATTACCACTCAGAAGTTGCTTTTTTTAATAGGTATTCTGCCTTGCCATGCATGTGGTTTCAAAGAGAAGCTGTCTGATGGTGACTCCGTGATTCAGCATGTGACACTATTGCTGTGACAGAACGAGTGCTCACCTTCCGACTGCAACTTCTTCGGTTTTTCAGTTTCTCTTTCAGTATCTTCTTTCCTCTAAAGTCTTACGTGTGATTATGATTTTCATCCTGACTAGGAGTTCTACATATCAAAGCCATTAATTCAAAGGGAAATTCCTAAAACTTAGTACATGTTTTTAGTAACTTGAGAAGTTTTACACAACGGATAGATACAGTAGGGTCACATGTGGCCTGTCCCACAATATTGTGACTGATTTCCACCACTCCCTAAAAACTAGCAGTATTTAAAAAAACTGGCCTTGCTATTCTTGCACTCGTAAATGCATTTCTGTTGTTTCTTCACTGCTTTCCCTGATTTGTCTGCATTTTTAATTAGCTCTTTAGATGTATTCACTGTAAGGCAAACCTGGTAGAATGAAAAAAGGCATTCATTTCTTCACATACAAACTTCAGCACCATAGACTTCTGTAAGACTTCTGAAGACACACACACACACACACAGTCTGTTCTAAAGTATTAACATAATTCACAAGGTTTGGTCTGCTGATAAGCAAAAAGTCAAAGGAGAAGCTGCAACACAGAAGACAAATGACTTCCTCTACCCTTAGTCATCAAAAACCTTTGCACACCTTCAGGGGAGCCGGGCGATTCCTCTCCAATACTGCTGCATTTATGTGAACTTAATGGCATATTATGGACTCTCATACCAGAAAACCAAAGTTTCAGTTTATGAAAAAACAATAAAGCAAACATGTACAGCTGGTTGGTCACACGGCTTGAATTCACAGCTTGCTGGGCACTGGGGCATTGGAATACCAGGCCAAGTGCCCCTTTCCTGCAACACATGGAAAACTATTTAATAGATAAGAAAAAAGAAACCCTTTGTACAGTGCTTTCCTTTGGAAGTATTTTAGGCTGCTTGTAATTTGTTTCTGACAATTAGGCAAGCTTAACTGAGCAACCTCTCCTCCCACATGTAGCTCTGTGCTCATGACAGAATGATTTTCCAATTTAGAAAAGCCAGAACAGCTGTCATACCAGCCAAACAAATACCATCCTATTTATTATCTCAGAACCACTAATGCAGCCTATTTGTTGTTTTAAAACCTCTTTTCCTAAGAATTAACTTTATGTCCAAAGTAGTAAGATAGCAATACTACAAAACCGAATGACGAGATAATAAAAATTTATTTTCTTCTTTGTGTCTGTTCGCACAACACTGAAAGCTGAAATCGTTCACCCTCTTCCTTTCAACAGGCAGTCTCACATATTTTGCTCTGACAGTGCTTTTGCTGTCGATATGTTACACTGTCACAGGCCTAAAAAGAAAAGGGAGATGAAGGGTGGTTGAAGACAGTTGTACATCAGATAAGAGGTTCTTATAAGGATATAAATTTCATGCTCCAGGGTACAGGTTTTATATCTTCTGCAGGAGCTGATACCATCTAGTGCAAGGGAAAGGACACATGGCCAGGCGGGCCCAGGTGTCGGATGCGGTGTAACGCTCTGATGACCATGTTCTGGACCTGACATGACAGCATCCTCCCTAAGAGGAACACCATACAGGTATGTGCCTGCTGCAGAGCAAGCTTTTTGTTGACAATTCTGCTCCAGGAACCCAGCAAACAGCACTCCTTATGCAAATTTCACCAGACAGCCGTCAGATGACACAGTTTTTATTCTTCCATCAGCCCGATTGGAGGATGAACGATCATAAGGAGGCTTTATTAGATGGTATAACTCTATTGCCTAGTGTGCAGGTGGTCTTCTTATGGTCAAACTAAAAGAAGCATTTTACACAAACGTACAAGCAGGTCCCTCGCACACACACACCCTCTTCTGTGCTCAGTAACGCAATTAACACGGCTCTGAAGCCAGCTGTAAGCAACACATGGACGACAGGCTATGAAGAGAGGCTACGGCTGGCAGCAGGAGATACCAGGCGCGCTGCTCTGATGCAAGACTGTCTCACGCCCGTTTGCTCTGCGGTATGGCCCGGCTCTACCTGCGCTTATCGCTTCGGTAACTCGCCCAGCTTCCAGCCTTGCCCGGCCCAGCCCGGCCCGACCCGGCCCGCCGGACGTAGCCGGGATGCGGCTTCCCCCGGAGGACTGTGCGAGAAGCCCTCGCCGCCGCCGACTGCGAGCTAGGCAAGAGCCGGCGGCAGCCGCTCGGCCGCGGGGATCCGGCCAGGTGCCTCCCGTCCCTCCCGCGCCCCACGGCCCCCACCGC